CTCTCATGTCCTTTTTTTTCTTTTCACATCTTGCCTATCCATCATGCAAAGTAATTTTAATTTTAAGATTAAATACACTTTTATGCATCAGAAAATTTTGAAATTTCACATGCAAAATCTTTATAATGTCTGGATAGTTATCAAACATTTCTTAAGAAAAAAACATTATATTTTATTTGTTATTTTCAGTAATTAATCTCTGTACGGGTAAATTTGACCAATCTCGCAACCAGCTTAAAAGATTAGGAAATAAACATAAATAATGCCTCTTTAATTCTAGAATTAACACAAATTATAACACGAAAACATAAATTTTTAGATGAAAAAGCTTAAATCTCATAATATTATACATTTATATATATTTATTATTTTTATTATATTTGCCTTTCACCCGAGCCTGGCTAAGAATACAGAAGTTACAACGACACGGCTCATATGCACTCACGTTACCGTATCAAATAACATAAAGGTGACCTTTGGTCTGTACAAAGTAATTTGTCTTGGCTGTGTTTTAGTCAACTAGTATTTTGTAAAATTATGAAATTATTATACATTATATATGTATGTAGATTATTGCTATTTTGATATAAGTTTGTAAAGTTATTTTTCCTAAAACAAAGAACAGTAAATAAAGAAGTAAAGCAAACAATTATCTCTACTAGTTACGACCATTATACTCGGTTGCTGCTTGACGTAGGTTACTAACCTTTAAAAATTTTGCACGTGGAGGATATGAAACAAAATATTTTTTCTAGGTTGTATATATATATATACTTTTGAATAACTAAAAAATCATAAATTACTACATCAATACTATAGAATTCTACTATAATTTATCAAACTTAGTAACTAAGCTTTATTTGGGTCTAAAAAAATATGAAATTTAGAGCAGACTAAAGACACAACGTACCTCATTGAAATGTTGGTTCAAAAGAAAGAAATGGCATAAGGAATGTAAGAAATCCACTAAGGGGACATTCTGAGCTTCCAACTGGTTATTCATATCATATATAGAAGTAAGTGTATATAAGGGAGCATTTTCAAAAATGGAAAGAGGTGAGCGGGGTGCCACTGTGTTTGATTTATTACGTGAGCAATATCTTAGCAAATATAAAAGATAAGACCTTCTTATTTTATATCTTGTTAATATCTGTAATTTGAGTTTCTAATTCATGTGAAACTATAGACTTAGTATTTTGACTTCACAAACATCTAATTTGAACCAGTGCTGCATTCAACACACCACGTGACACACATAAATTGATGTTTATCTGTGTTTTTTTAACATTTACTTTTAAATTAACAAATTGAGTAATGTATAGTTCTAAAATTTGAATTATAATCTGCAGTTTGATACCAAACTTATTGACATAAATTCATGAAATAATAGTTCAATAAAATTTTGAATGTGAGTCAACAAACAAGATGACATGGCCTTTCACCTGTGACCCATCTCTCAAGGGTTAAGCATAAATAGATGTATACTGTTATGAGTTTAAAGCTATTTAGGATAAACAAATGTAGTTCCATATTATAATTTCAAGTTATTCTAGAAAGAAAAAAAAAAAAGAGTAATTTATATTTCTTTAAATTTTTTTTGGTGGTTTTGAGGTCAATAAAATTGATCAACCTTGTATAAAGTTAGAGTAGAGAAAATAACAATTAAATATAAAGTTTACTTAAAAAAATACATTTTAAATTTATTTAGCAGGTTTTAGAGATTATACAAAAAATCTAAACTTTTCGAGATAAGAAAAGTATTTTTAAATCTTAACATAAAAATCACTTAGCACTTGGGCTAATATATAGAAATACAATCTATATTCCAGGACAAATCTTTAGTAAAAATACTTATTGAGTACAAAAGTGGTTATGAGGTTGGTCAATTTGATCAACTTTATTCTGAAAGAATTAAAGAAAAGACGAGAGTCTTGGTAATCAGACCCTCCATTTCTTAAATGCATAAAGGAGAAAGCTGAGCTTGCACAAAATATGAAATGATAAAGAGTCTTAAGTGAATGAGATATTGGATGGAGTCATGACTGAGTTGGAGAGCATGTGACCAGCCAATCCAAACGAAATAGCTCCCGAACAAGATGGGAAGTCATAACAGTATACGCTTCATTGGATGGGGCTTTAAGTTTAAGCCAATCATTTATAGAATAGTGGAACTGTAAACCTAAGGAGTGCATCCACCGTGTTTGAGTTAAAGAATCTGTTTTTGTGTTCATGGAAGTTATTGAAAAGTCTTGAGCATATGCCAGTTAGCAGTTTATAAAAAAAAAAATTCTTCTTTTTACCTTTTCTCATAAACTAAACATTTCTGTATCAGATGCCCCTGACAAATTATATTTGAAATAGTAACTTTATTTTATATCTGAAATATGAACAATAAAGTAATCAGAAATAATTGATCTTGGTCATCCACATTCTGAGAGAGAGAGCAGTCACTCAGAGTGAGAAAACCATCTATCTTGAACCAAGAGATAATCAAAGTTGTTTCAAGTGTGACAGATATAAAACAGTTTGCCAATGATCATGGTACACAGGACTTAAAACACTGGCATAAAGACGAAATTGAAGAGTAATTAACGAAACCTGTTTACTGGATTAATGACAGACTTTAGAACATGTCACAATTTTTTTAAATTTTGACTAAGTGGAGAAATTAAATTATTATAATTAAAAATTTGAACTGAAATGTTTAAAATACCGGAGATTTCTGTCTCTTAATCAAGAAAATAAAGATAAGAAAGACTACACTACAAATGGTAAGTAAAGATTAAAATGATAAGAACAAAAATTCTGTAATTCTTAATGAAAAAACACATCTGAACAAAGCAGAGTTAAGGAAAATAATGAGCTTTTGTTAAAATATGAATACTCTAAGGGTTTACTGCTCGTGTCACCCTCCTACTGGTAGAGAAGTATAGTCTTTCAATGATTACATCATAGACTGGCCAGTACATTTTGTTCAAGGCTTGCAAAAATGCAAAAACGTTTTTGGCAGGGCCATGAGGTAATAGCTATCAGTTCTGTGGAAAGTTGAGAAGCATTTCTGAATTTGCAATTTATAAAAAAATGGTTATTATTATTTGAAGTCATATTTGAACAAATTGTATGAATTAGTTTTAGAATTATAATTATATTGTTATAACAAAGAAAACAAATACATGCAGCCTTTTAATATGTTTCAAATATAAAACTTTAAAAAAAGACAAAGCTTACTTCTAATTATATTGTACTGGAATAGGGTGTGTAAAAACCTGTAAAGACTAACTGAAAAACATTTATGTTTCTGAATATTTAATATGCAGAACTATCATTTCTAGTTAAATAAAGAACAGAATGTTTAAACATGCCTTGCATATAAAGCCTGATGTCACACACAAGTGCTAGTAGCATAATTCAACTTACTTTGACAGTTACTCTGCAGAAGCACCTTCCGAGACTCGGAAAACTGCCCTTGGTAAAACTTTTGTTGTTTAATAATACTACGAGTTGCTCCACAAATCTTCACCTCATACATGGTATTTGTTGTAAGGTTTGAAATGAACTTCTGAATCATAAAAGAAAATAAAGAATATAGTGAATATAGTAAGCAGTTCATAACTAATTATATCTATAATAAAACTTCCTATCTTTAATATATTATTCAAACAATTACATTGCTATACAAAAACCTTGTAGAGAATCTTCAACTCTTCAAAGTAGTGAGAACAAAATCTTCTTATTAAAAATATTATATACTACTAATACTTAAGGAAAATATATTATAATAATCAATTCCTATAATTATTAAGATTTAGTAAGTTTCAACAGTGCTCCAGATAAAAGGCAGGTACATGTAAATATCAATATTTTTTTCCATAAAAAAAACATTAGACATAAAAATTAGTGCATACCAAATACTCATACTATTTGCCAGTAGGTATCTCATTCACAAAGCATGGGAGATCATTCTAATCATAAACAATTTATTCAGAAATTTGTAGGATTTGCTGTAGTCCTTTACATCAGATCCTAAAAATTGTTTACATAATACAACTATGTGCAGGCCTACTGTATCTTATTGCTTTGTTCTCTCAAGCAGTACTGAGGTGTAATATGGCAAAACTATGGTCTACTGTAGAGGGAGCATTACATTACACCTCTATATCATTTACAGATTGTATCGTTCTCTTCTTCACTGAAAATTGCAATTTTAGGGTGAAAAAAAAAATTTAAATGAGATATACAGCAAATACTGTCTGACTATTACCAGTAGTTAAGGGTGATTGTTGACTAGAAAATTATACCATTGTGCGAATGATGTTAAACTAAATTACTGTTATATAAAAATATCCAAACTGAAATAACCAAAAGTGTATTAAAAAATATGTGGTATTATAAAGTTAATCTATTTTCTTTGATAATCTTTATTAAAACTATCAGATTCATATACAAGAAGAGATCAAAAATGAAAGTTCTAAATGTTTTTGAAAACTTTACATAATTCTCTTAGTTAAGGATTTAAATGTTGCAAATTCTCTATCAACATTAGTAATATAATCAACAAATCAGGAAATAGAAACATTTCAAGGTCAAGAAAGTAATTACTGTTTTTTAACAAATCTATTTGAATTTATTCATAAATGTTGTATGATGACAGCTACTAGTAGCTAACTTCAGTTAGATTTTATTTTTTTACAGCAGCAGCAACTAGAAGGCTAGAAATTGCTTTGCAAGTGTAAACTTGTTACTGGATAAGTCGATAAGTAGGAGAATGATGTACATATACACTTCACTGCCTTCTTTCTGACTCATGAAAGAGAGAGAGAACAAAAGTGGTAGTGTTCTTAGATCCAAAAAAACTTCAATGACATTTACAACATACACAACTTATCAAAAAGTACTGTACATCACACTGCAGAGTGAAACAGAAATAACCAACTTCCTGAAACTGCCTTCCATAGAGATTATGTCATTATCATTAGCATTAAATTGTAAAGTATACGAGTGTCTGCAACCTTGAATGAAATACAGACCATTCAAAATATGTTAGATACATGTACACTTTTAAGATTCCAAGAAAATGAAAAATAAAGTTTACATAATTAACTAATATCAATGTGCCCAAGATGCTAATAAAGAATACACCATTTTGTTGTTTATTTCTTTGGTTTTTATATAAATTACAAGCTTTACACTAATTTAGATAGATATAAATAAAATGTATTTGATAATTCTTAAGTTTGAAAGTAAAACAGTAAAGGTGCACAAACACTAGCCTATAAAACTTAGGTTTTAGAGTAAATTGACTTATTATACATACTATGCAGTTTTAAAATTGCTATTTTCTAACTAGGCTACATATGAAAACATAGAAATTATAAAAAACAGACTAGAATAGGGAAAGTCAGGTGCATATACAATACAAGGTTGGAAATTAGACATTTTTTTTACTATCAAATGATCTTGTATTCTTTTCACAAGATTAATTAATATGTCTAACATTTTACTACAGTAAAAATAATGACAGAAGGGATAGGTTATATACCTATCTATCTCTCTTTCTTTTTTTACATCATGTATGAAGATAGTAGGAACACTTGAAGTTATATAATACAAATTATTTAAAAAATTAATTTATTACAGTTGTCATTAGCTAAGGAAAATTCAACTGAAAGCATCTTTGTCATAAAATGAGGTGTTTCTTAATTTAATTACCTCTTGATCTGTTGCATTAACATCTATTCTTGTAAAATCCCAAGACTTTTCAGAGCGATAATAGACATAATAATGATCAACAGACTTATGGAAAATCTGTGGCCTTTCCCACTGGACGTATATAGTATCTAGAGAGTGACAGGTTAGGTTGACAATGTTTGGAGCACTTGGCCCTGAAAGAAAATATGATATTCAAGTGTTTAGTAGTTGATTTCATTCTTTAAAAAAAAAGAAACAATTTCTATTCATCTGTTATAAAATGGCAAAAAAGAACAAACAGTTTTGTCAGTATTGAAAGGTAGGAATTTATTAATTTAGTTGGAAGACAAATTCTTACATGCCTGATTACTTTGAAGAACTCAAATTATTATTTACAAAAATATTTATATGGTGTAGTTATGGATTTGAGTGCTATATTGGTTAAAATTATGAAATATTTAATATAAACACTATTTGATATATAAAATGGAAACAAGCTAACAAGCTTTTCAAACTAACTAGACTTAAATTACAAAAGAGGCAGTAAAGCCTGCTAAATTCTTTCATGAATCATACAGAAATTGTTATATAGACATTTTAACATCAAATGGTACAGCATTTAACCACCCATCAGTAATTATTTTCAAAGCTTAGAAATCTAGTCAGAGTTGCAAGTTGTAATAATTCAGAAAATTTACTTAATTCAGGTCGGGCATATGCATGGCATCAAGATAAAGATTTTAGTCTAATAAATCACAAAGACTTGAAAACAAAGGAAAAAGGATATCTTCTTCTGACAGAATGAAAAATGTTTAAATGTGATAATACATATTTCATCTTCCCTGTGTCAAATTCACAATATGCATAAACACGATCAACAAATTCAAAATACAACTTTTCACCTTACATCACAGACAATATATGAATGAATATAGGTAAAGCTACATAATCACAAACTGAAAAGTTTTATCATATACAGATCTTAAGATTAAAGCTGGATAATTAGTAGAATTTGCTATTTGATCAATTTTTGAACTGCTCTTCATGTTATATGATAGACATCCTCAGGTACAATAATGTAGAATTAAAGTTTTCCTAAAGCCTGCTGTATTTAATGATTCTCAATAGAAGAGGAAAGTAAAGCATCAAGGTGAATAATTATTATTGGTTGCTGGTGTTTCTAAAATGGTGGTTCACAAAATGAAGTGACCAATGTCTAATTAAGGTTAACTAGTGTTTCATTTGATAATTTCTACCAATAACAATTTCTCTGGTGAGTGACTTTCTTCTTATCTTATCAAACCAAATGCATACAAGATTACAACACTTATGATAAACAACATTGTTTATTAAAAAAAATGGAATCTTGTATGCATTTGGGTTGTTAAGATAAGAAGAAAGTCACTCACCAGAGAAATTGTTATTGGTAGAAATTATCAAATGAAACACTAGTAAACCTTAATTAGACATTGGTCACTTCATTTTGTGAACCACCATTTTAGAAACACCAGCAACCAATAATAATTATTCACCTTGATGCTTTACTTTCCTCTTC